AGGTGCATAGCAATAGGACACAAGGCAAATGAAGAATTTTCTCCTTATGTCCAATTGTTACCATAAAGGTGCTGCATCTCCATCCTCAGAGATGGTCAAAACCCAACTGGACATGATTCTGAGTAATCTGATCTGCGTTTAAAGATGGCCTGCTCTGAGCTGTGGTTAGACAAGAGACTTCCCGAGTTTTTTTTCACATGTGCTACTCCATTATTGCCATGGTTTTGTGCTTGGCTGTGGCAGGGGACGTGATGGTGACGACTACCCCCAACTAAAATGTGCTTTGTCTGGAGGGTCTCCAAGGATGTGGACTTCTGAGCTAGAAGTATCTAAAAGCAGAATAAGCCCATAACGATGGGATTCCTGGAAGGCAGTTACCTGCTGAGCATTTTGTCTAGCTTTATTTTTATAACCCAATAGTGTGTGCTGTTGAGCAGATTTGACGGTATTTGTGTGATGCTGTGGGTGTCCCCTTGCCTGGTAATTACACTGATTAATCTGGATCGTGCTGGAAAGCCACATGTGCCTTGTACCAGAGGGGATGCCATCATGTATATGTATTATTAAACTCTTAACAGATGCTGTCAAGAAGTTGGAAGATGGGTCTGAGTTGGAGGTGGTTCTTGCTATGCTGGCAGTGTGCAGGAAGGGCAGAGTTTCTTTTTTCTGGCTGAAAAGAAGGTACGTTTGTGGATCTTGAGAGATGGTGACAAAGACTTCTGCCCAGAGCCGTGCAGGTCCCTGCCTCTTCTGTCTCTGTGCCCTGAGAAGGGATTTGTTACTGCTTTTGCAGAGCCCCCTGGGGTCAGATTTGGGAGCAGAGGCCCATCTGGCTCCAGGAGGTGAGACCGTGCAGGTTTGCTGCTGGCAGGTGTTTGTGCCAGCGTGCAGGCTGAGCCTCATAATGCCGTGTACAAGGAATCAGTGCGGAGCAGGTTTGGAGGCCCTGATTTGTCAAGGCCACAAGCAAGCAGTGCCTTAGCCCAAAAGACAAAGCCCAGCCTTGCACTTTGGGTAGTAGCCTAGTGTGGCCTGTATGACTTTAGAGGGAACAGCTTTCTTGGTGACAATCCTGCTGGGGCTCGCGGAGGCCTGGAGGATGGGGGCTTTCGTCTGCCTCAGACTCCCACTTTTCTGGGACAGGTTTGGTGAGCAGTGTGTCTTTGCAGGAGGTGGTTTCTGCTCACAGGCTGCGCTGTTGGCTGAACACGATCTTATCTTCCCTGTGCTGCTTGGAAGAACCATGAGTGGCAGCTGGGGCCTTCAGCTGTCCCGCTCCACACATGCCAAACTGCCTGGACGTGCTCCCCCCAGGACGGGTGACCTTGGAGGTGTTCTGGGAAGTGCCTTAGCACTCTTCTCCCATCTTGCATGGGGTATTATGAGCTGTATCATTGTGAGCAGCTCCGTTAAGTCATTACAACCTTGGTGAATGCATGAGCTTTATCCCTTTCATCCCAATTCATCACTATTGTGCTGACATGAATAATTTTCATTATAAAATGTTTCAGATCCTGTTAATTAACAGAATTGCTTAAATTTCAATGAGATGGTTCTTGCCCAGAAATAACAATTTTATACTCTCGGCAGTGTCACAGGAGAGGCCTATAAACACAGCCAGCTGGGGCTGGTCCCGTGCAGCCCCTGGGCAAAGGTGCCTCATGCAGGGCCCGTTCTGTCTTCTCCCAAGCTGGAGGTGCCTTCATCTGCACCCTTGCTGGTGGTCCCCGGTCACTGCAATGTCTCAGCCCATGTGGATAGGGTGAGCTGGGACTCCTGGTCAAATGACTTCTAAACAGTCCCAGGGTGAGCAAGGGAGCCAGCACGCACCGGTGGCCCCACCGCAGGGTAAACGCCCCGACCGTCCTGAGGAGGGAGTGGGATGCTCCCTCCTGGGGGGATTTTGCAGTGCCCTGAGCACCGGCCAGGAGCACAGACCTCCAAGCTGGTGAGGGACAGGAGGCTGCCAGCCACCCTGGTGTGTGAACAGGCAGATGCTGGAAGTGCTTGAGGGGCAGCATGCGAGGCAGAGTGTCCTCTTAATTCATGGGACTGAAGGCAGCGAGAGTCCAGGTAATTAAAGAGCTGGAATGGCAGAGGAACCAGGGGAGCTAGGTGAAATTGTGCCTATCCACGAGAGCCAGGGAGCTGCAGGGATCTGAAACAGTGGTGATGTCTTTATAATAAATCCTAACAATGATAATCGCTGGAATAATTGCTAGTTTCAGAAAGCGAGGAGAGATAAATGTCTCCGGAACAGTGTTGCCAGCTCCTGCTGCACCTGTAATGTCATGGAAAGGAGAAAAAAATTCCTGCTTCTCCTAGCTCAGCTGCATTTCTGACTGCCTTTGAGCCCTGGCACCAGTGGCTCCTCAGTGGGACTGAGGTGCCAAGAGGTGGATGAGGTCGTACCGGACACATGTCAGTGCCGGTGGGCTGGTGCCTGGGAGCCTCTGGATGTGTCCCTGAAACCTTGTCTTGTCTCCTTGCAGCTTCCTGGGCGGGAGCTGGGTGCTGGAGCCCCGCTCCACCATGCTCAGGTTGTGCTGGGGGTTTCCAGAAGTGTCTGCCTGGAGCCTGCTGGCCCAGGTACCTGCTGTGATCTACCATCGTTTGCTCTGTTTCACGACAGCAAATGTGTTGGAGGTTGCTGGGAGCACCTGGGTGATCCTCTGGTGTCCACTCGGTCCACGAGGAGCTCCGTCTCAGACACCTGCACTAGAGACCTGCATGCTGCAGTGGGGCAGCCCCTGTGCAGCCTCTTCCCTAACACCAGGCAGGATTACTAGTAAAACAAAGCAAAGATGGATCTTTATAGAGCTCATGATAGAGAAGGTAAAGCTGATAGTTAAACAGAAAAGCCTGGAAGAGTTAACCAAAAAAAAAAAAAAAAGAAAAAGAAAACTATCTAAATATGTGGGATTCTTAAAGTGAGCTGGAGGAGGCTTTAAAATGATTCCTGGCTGCTTTGGGGTGTTTCTGGGTAATGCGGGAGGGACTGGGAATGTGCTGCTAATGACCTCGTATTCATGTGCACACTTATTCATGTGTGTGCCCCTGGTGCCACCTCAGGGCAGAGTCATTTCTTTGTTTCATTCCCAAAATGTTTGGTCTGTGCTTTGTTTCTATGTAAATGCATCGGCCCTGGCTGACATAGGAAGTCATAACTTCTGCCATTCACAGGATTTTTTTTCTGGGTTTTACATTTCTTTCCTTCTTGTTTTACATTCCTTTGTATTTTAGCCCTAGTCATTCATTCAAGCCCAGATGACTGAAGACCTGTACTTAAAGACTTTTATTTTGATATTCCAGTTCATAAAGAGTACTAACATTCTGTGAAGCTTTATGGTCTCCCAGTGCGTTCTCAGCTCCTGACATGGAGTATGTATAGCATCTTTGGCCTCTTTAGCTTAGAGGAACACTTGAGAATAAGGGTCTTTGTGCAGATACATCTTCAGAAATAAACTGCCCCTCATTCTCCAAATAATCCTACTATCTGTTTAGAGGCCCTCAAGACATGCTTGGGCCACTAGGCACATGTGAATCTGGAGCAAGGCATTGTGATATTCTGTTATGAGCTTTTCTGGGCAGGGAATAAGACAAAGGATGAGTGGAATTTCAGATATCATCCAAGATGATGATATCCTGGCAGTCCAATGGGATGACCCTGCCGTGTAGCGATGGCTGCATGCGTTTGATGTGCAGGGCACCCATGCAACGTGCAGGGACAGACAGTGGGGCCTGGAGGGCTGGATGGGTTCAGGCTGGCAGGGCCAACTCTGCCCTGTGTCTGCCTGCCTTCTCCAGCCCTGGGCAGTCGTGCTGTGCCATGCCACGGGGGCTCTGAACTGCTGCATCCCCCTGGCAAGCCCTCTCCGAGCCGATAAGGAGAGCTTAGGGCCAGGCATTTTTGTGCCAGGGAGTTCTGTGACTCAGCCTGGGCTCTTGCACCCCCTTCCCATGCAAACCTGTAGGCTGGCCCCAGTGCAGCCCCTGCCTCAGGGGCCTCTGGTCCTCCCCCTGGAGGGGTTTAGGCCTCAGCCTGGCTCACAGCCTCCTGTGTTCCATCTGCTCGCTAGAGTTCTCCTCTGGGAAGGCTGCAACAAGGTTTGCTCGCACGGGGCCCTGCGGATATTGTTTGTTGTTGCAAAGTCCTTTCCGTGGAGGCCGAGTGCCGCTCTTGGCGTCCAGGCCGAGCCTTCCTTTACTGGGCAGTGCTGCTGAGGCTCTGGTCCCACTCGTGGGTGCTGCTCGAGGTCTGCTCCTCTCCTGACAGCCCTAGGGGAGGGGATGTGCTCAAGAACCTCAAGAACGGCAAGAAGTAGGATCTGGGGATCTACAGCTGCCCTGTCAGCCTCACCTCAATCCCTGGGAAGGTGATGAAGCAAGTAACCCCAGAAGCCATTTCCAAGCATACAAAGGATGGTGACTGGGAGTGCTCAGCATGGATTTATGAAGGGAAAATCATGCTTAACCACCCGATAGCCTTTTGTGATGAGATGACTGGCTTGGTGGATGAGGGAAGAGCAGGGGATGTTGTTTATCTCAATTTCTAGTAAGGCTTTTGACGTGGTCTCCCATAACATCCTCACTGACCAACTGATGAAGTACAGACTAGATAGGTGGTCAGTGAGGTGGATTGAAAACTGTTTGGCTTGCCGGGCTCAAAGGGTTGTGATCGCAGCACAAAGTCCAGCTGGAGTGCAGTCACCAGCAGTGTCCCTTGGGTTGATACAGAGTCTGTTACGGTTTGATATCTTCATTAATGACTTAGATGTTGGGACAGAGTACATGCTCAGCAGGTGGGCAGATGAAACAAAACTGAGGGGGTGGCTGCTATGCCAGATAGTTGTGCCACCATGCAGAAGGACCTTGACAGGCTGACTCTGCTTGGAGCAGGGGGGTTGGATTAGGTGATTTCCAGAGGTCCCTCCCAACCCCAGCTCTTCTGTGAGTGCTCTGCAACGTGCCTGTGCTCACGATGTCCTCCTGGTTTCCAGGTGTGATCCGGACGGCTGTGGCTGACCTGGACCGTGAGACGCAGGACCGGTATGAGGTGGTGATCCGTGCCACAGACATGGCAGGACAGCTGGGTGGCCTGTCTGGATCCACCACAGTCACCATTGTGGTCACCGATGTCAATGACAACCCACCACGCTTCCCCCAAAGTGAGTCCTGGCTGGCACCCGCTGTGCCCACAGTGGGGTGAGGCTGGCCCCAGGCCTCGAGCATGGTGGGACATGGGTGCAGCTCTGGGTGCAGTCTGGTGTGGGTCTGCGGGGTGAGCTGGCCCCACCGCTCGGGCTGTGCGCGCACAGCATCCCCTCGCCTCGGGCCTGGGCACATCCCTGAAGATGCACCTACCTGCAGGCCTCTCTCTATGTGCCCAGTCCAGCGATGGAGGCAGAGGGTGGCTGCCCTGGCTGAACCTGTCCAGTACCCTTGGACAGACCGCTGCTCCCCGTGCACATCCTGGGGGTTTCAGGGCTGTGGGACGAGGAGAGTGGGGCAGCCCATCCTGCTCCCTTGATCCCTCTGGCCAACGCTGGGGAAGAGCGCAGAGCCAGGATACTTCGGCAATTTGGTCTGTCTCCTGTCTCACAGAAGCTGCGTCAGATCTTGGCACTGTGCGAGGCAGTGTGACACTGCCCAGCTCGCAGATGACAGCATAGTCACAAGGCAGTTGTTTTCCAGGTCGTGGCTGAAGGCCGGTGCTTGCCCCTTCCCCTGGGGCCCTCCCCCAATGAGGAGGGTGGTCCTGCTGTGAAGGACTGGGCTGTGCAATCGCTGCCTTGCACACCGGCTGCAGAGCCTGGGAGCCCTTGGCCGGCAGAGCTCAAGGGATGCTGAGCTGCAGCTGGAGGGGACTCAGCCCTTGGCTCCATCTCCTAGAAACTAGAAATGGTAAAGTTTGCAAGGAGCTGGAGAACACCCTGATTGCAGGGTAGTGCCACACAGAGAAACCAGTCCTTTCTTTACTTGGCACCTGGAAGCATCTGTACTCCCAAATGTTTTCCCCCAGCCCTCGTTTCTGGCTGGGGTTTGTGGTTTTCTCTGGGGGGGTGTTCTGGACTACAGGCATTGGCAGGAGGTTGGGCAGCTCTCGTAGTGCAGGGCGGCCCCATGGAGGTGCACAAATGGGTGCAGCGGGCTGGAGAGGGCACAGATGCAGCAGCGGTAATGCTAGTCCTTTCTCTCCTCTAGAGATGTACCAGTTCAGTGTCGTGGAAACCGCCCCCGTGGGCACTGCCATTGGGAGAGTGAAGGCAGAGGACTCTGACGTCGGGGAGAACACAGACATGACGTACCAGATGAAGGACGAGGAAGGAGTGGAGATGTTCAAAGTCACCACAGATAGCAATACCCAAGAGGCTGTCATCACAGTACAGAAGGTGAAAGAGGAGGAAAACGGTTGGGAGGGAAGGCAGGGATGTCTTGGGGGGGCCTTTCCTCTGGGGACTCCTGCTGCTGCATTTGCATAGAAGCAAATGCCCCTCTGAGAGCTGCTCTGGCAGTTGCATTTGGGTGTCTGTAGGGATAGGGAGAAGCCTGACTCCGTTCTGCCTGGCTGGCAAGGAGCAGACCTCTGCCTGGGAGGAAAGGCTGGAAAGGAGCAGTGGTACAGTGCCTGCTGGAGCCGGTACAGCACGGCTCTGGGGCCGCAGCAAAGAAGTGAGCAGCGCATAGGTAAAGCTGTGCACGGTGCTATGGAGACTAGCACTTACAGCTGGTTTTGACAGCAGTGTTAGGAGGAGAAATATGCCCACCTAATTCCTCTACCTGATCAACTGCGCTTTGAGTGCATCTGCTTTTGGTGGCAAACACAATCAAGCAAGTACTTGATGCAGGCAAGAAAGAATGATTGTTCACCAAGGCTGCTGCTTTCAACTCCCCTCCCTGCAGAAATGATCGCAGGGTGATTAATGATAACACATTGCTCCCTTGCCAGTGCATAACGTGCTGTCTTCCTGGTGTGTTCTGGCTGCCCGCACCATGTGCTGCCAGGGCACCTCGCTGAGGGCCCGGGGCAGAGCGGGGCTGGAAGCTGCTGCCTCTTCCACCTTCCCTGAGGTGGATGCTGGAGGCGGGAGGGCAGAGCACTGGAGCACGAGCTCCTGGCCACCCTGTCCAGCCCCCTGCAGAGGCAGCTCTTGAGGGCAGTGGGCTGCAATGCCGCCTATGGCGTCTCCAGGGTGAGGGTCTGGTGAGGGAAGCAGCAGCAAGGGCTCCTCCCGCTGAATGTGGCTAACCCTCTCCTGTTGTCCCAGCCTCTTGACTACGAGTCAAAAAAGGTGCATACCGTCGTGGTGGAGGCCCTCAACAAGTTTGTGGACCCGCGGTTCGTGGACCTGGGCACCTTCCGCGACCAGACCATCGTGCGGGTCTCGGTGCTGGATGTGGATGAGCCCCCCGAATTCCGGCCCCCCTCCGACCTGATGGAGGTCCAGGAGGACGCGCACGTCGGATCTGTCGTGGGGGTGGTCACTGCCCTCGACCCGGACACAGCGAACCACCCTGTCCGGTAACCAGTGGCTGAGCTTCAGACCCCCTTGTGTGGGCAGTGGGGTTCGGCACGAGGGACGCGCGTGGCCTTGGGAGGCTCGTGGTGGCGGTGGCAGAGGTGGAGTGGCAGGAGCAGCGCAGGTGAGGGTGGCCAGTGCCGCGGGAGGTGAACGTGTCCTGCAGGACACATCTTGGCAGGTGAGTGACAGCCGGTGTACAGGCAGCAGGCAAGCGAGAGCAGCCGCCTTGCAGTGACAGATGTGTCACCGGCAAGTGATGGTTTGTGAACGACAAGGGAGCGTTGGGGACGCGGCTGCGTGACGCGCACACGTCCTTGCCACCAACGGCAAGGCAGCCACAGTGGCACCTGGGGCGGCCCAAGCAAGCGACCAGGAGTGACGAGTGGGCAGTGATGAGGAGTGACAAACGAGGTGACGTTTGGGGGTGGGGGGGTGCAGAGCTGGAGCCAGACTGCGTGTGTGTGCGTGCATGTGCATGAGGATCAAAGGCCAGAAGAGTTTATATTTGGGCAGGGGACGTAATCCAGGCAGCAGCTTATCTGCACAGGACATTTCCCATTTCCATTTAATTTGTGGCTAAGGAGATTGTTACCTTGTTAAACTGTTATTACCTAAGGCACAGAGCAGCCTTCTGGCTCTGCCAACTGGCCTGAGTCACGAGCGGTTGGGATGAAAAGCTGGTGTTCAGAAAACATCCTCAATGTGTGGAAAATTTCCTTCAAATGCTGTATGTTCTCGTGCCAGGTGACGGTAGGGCTGCAGGCACCTTGTGCACGGCTGCTTGCTTCAAATGAGCAGCGGCAGCAGCTTTGCATTTGAGAGCTCCGTGTGGAGGCTGTCCCTAGTAGTGATAAATTGGGACGCAGTGGGAACAGGGACTTGGGATGGAGGAGGACATGGCCAACAAGGGCTGAATTACAGCACTGAGTAACACACAGCATGTTCCACGTGTCTCTGCGTGGCTGTTTGGGGTGCTGACCTCCTGCACCGTGCGGCCACGGGGGATGCGCTGATGCCGGGTGGGGTGAGGGCATCTCCAGCTCCTTGTGGAAATGAAGACTGAGATGTTTAGAAAGCTCAAAGAGTTTCCTCATGGAAAATTGCCATCTATGGATGCCTGGCAGCTGGCAGAGACTATTGTGTCACAAAGCTGGATGATGAAAGCTGTCTTTGGGGTGAATGTGAATGAAACCAGCCCTGGCACACGGGGCAGAGTCCTGGCACGGGCGTGCAGCCGCGTGGAGCTACATATGTGAGCAAGTAACGTGCACTGCTCGTGCTGTCTGGATGTGCTCTCACAGCGCCCATGCTCACCTTGTCCTGTGGCTGCCCTCTCAGTTCAGGCTGCGTGTCAGAGCTGCATCTGTCTTTGTGGCTGCCCTGAGCACATGGCCGAGTGCATGCTAGCTTGCACTCCTCACATATGTGTGTAGTCTTTCTGCACGTTAGTGTGCAGGTGCATGTGTGCACGTGCCTTTTCACTTGAATGTTTCTAGCAATGCTGAAGAGTATAGATTTTATTTTCTGATCTGTAATTGTAGGAAAGGGGCCTTGGGGACAGCACTATTCTTACTCTCGTTCTCTTGTGTTCTTCTTGTTGCTTCCCTGCGGAGCTTGTTGCATTGTTTGCAGAGGGAACAAAAGAAGGCAGAGGAGGGAGGCTTTCTGCTGCTGTGCAGAAGGTGATATTTGAAAAGGAGAAGCAGTTTCAAGTGCTCAGCAGGAGCAAGAGGGTTAGAGCCCAAACTTTACTGTGCAAGTCTCTCTGCCCTGCAGTAGGCTTAGTTCCAGACAAGGTGATATTTCATGTGCTCGGGCACGAGGATGCAGCTAACGGGACTCCCAGGTGTCTGCTGCAGCTTGGGAATTGCAATGTGTTTTCCCTTGTCAGGCTTGAGGCGTTCAGGTATGTATCCTCCCTGCAGCTATCCCCAGGCAGGCAGCATCTCCTGCGTCCGCTATGGTCCCCTGTGGTATTTGGTCTCTGTCCGTCTGTCTCTCTGCTCACCTCTCGCAGTGCCTGTTGTCATGAGGAGTGGCACCTCAGTCTGCTTTCGATCCACCCCTGGCGCTTGCCGCAGGAGGTGGGGGTACGAGCTGTCCCTGCTGTTTTAACGCATAGCAGGTGGAGCTGCAGGTTCCTGGGGAGAGGATCAGCCATGCCGAAGTGGAGCGCTCCTGCAGCACCAGTGCAGGAAAGGTGCTGTCATACCTCTACTGCTCCCTGGTACCTTGGCTAGCCGAGTAGTTTAATAAAATACTTTGCCACCTAGGCCGCTCTTTGCAGCTTCAAAGTGCTGGACAAATATTAATGCAAGCATCCTGTAGCACCCTGCTAGGATGCGACACTAGCCCATCAGCAGGAGACGGCAGTAAGTCGCAGCGTTTTAAGTGTGCTACTCCAAAGTACAGTCACAAGAAGCCAGCCCTTGTTCTTCACCTGTGATACATTAGAGAGTGACTGGTCCTGACAGCACAACGAGCATTTGATCCTCAGCTCCTTGAAGTTGGTTTGAACCCTTTCAAGTCACTGCAGTTCAGATCCCTTTAACTTCCTGGTCCTGAACTGCTAGAGCTGGGAGCAGAGACACGGCTGTGTCTCTGCAGTGGTTGCTGTCTCCTGGACTCAGGTCTGTGTGTTGGCTCTGCCGTGTACGTAGCTGGAGAGCCACGACCTTGTGCCATGAAGTGATGTGCTCGCCTTGAGGCAGGAAAGCGTGAGGACCTGCAGGGACAGCAGAGCAACAGTCAGCTCTGTCAGCGTTTCCAGTCCTGCTGACACCAGACTGCCAGTAACTAGGTTTAGGAAGTATTTTTAGTCAAATGGGAAAGGAGGTGCCCTTGGCTCTTTTGTTTTCCTTCCCAGGCCAGCACAAAGAGGTCTGTGCTGCTCCTGCTGCCCTGTCTGGCCTGGAGCTGCCGCTGGAGGCACATTGCAGCTCGGCACTCACCTGCCCTCCTCCTGGGTTCACATGTCCCACAAGGATATGTGAGAAGAAGTGCCTGCTGGATAAGCTAGGCTGGATCCCTAAGCGTAACGGCTGCCTCTGATCTGTTGCAAAGACAGGAGGGTTGAAGGAGCATCTGACTCTTGCACACTTCTGTTCCTGTGAGGTGTCCTTGGGACCCCGCTTTGGGGTGACCCCTTTCCCAGCTGTCTGCCACAGCAGCTTGGAGTCGTCCTGATGTTCAGCGCAGCACCAGGGCTGCCGGTTCTCTGGGGGAACACGAAAACCCACCATGGTACATGCAGGAAATGCCTTTCTAAAGGAATGGGGCTTTTCATTTTATTCCATCCTTATTTGTTGCCTAACAAAAGCTGGAACTACTCTTTTCCAGAAAGAATGTAGTTTCCAGTTGGCTTTTTGGCTTTAGCTGTATATTTCCTGGGCATAGTATGATTTTTCTCAGCTGAGCCATTGTATCAGGCAGTGCGCTGATAGACTGTCTGTGTACGTGAGCCTGTTTGTACGGGAGCCTTTTGTTTTTCTCCCTGCAGTGAGAGCCGGTGCTCTGATTGTGTACGTTCCCGGCTTTATCAGCACTGGGAAGATGTTGCTTGGGATTTAAGGTTCTCAGAGATATTCTTGTTTGGCATTCACCAAATCTTGAGACATGTGTTGGACACGGGCATTTTATAGACTCCAACAGCACAGCAAGAACTACAACCTGCTTCAGCACAAAAGGGAGAAGAGGAAAAAAACAAACATAACAAAAAGCTTTTCACACAGTGTTTGAAAAGCTTCCTATTAACAAAACACATGGCAGAAAATGTGTTCCTTGTTGCATTCGGGGGAGAAGTGAAACAAACTGCTTGAGGAATACATGCACAAGAAAGATGAGTACCAAGAAAGCTGTCTAAATTAAACAGTTGCTTGTAACATCCAAACCAACAGGCAGTGCCAGCAGGAAGAGAGGACAATGGATTGCAAGGTCTGCATCCCAATCAGAACCGGGGACTGCAATTCCAGAGAGGGAGCACTGGCAGGCTTTAGGAGGAGTGAGCAAATACCAAACTCTGAGTACCTGAAGGACCCGAGGGTTAGCTGCGACCCCCCCTCTCAGGTGAGGCACACTGACTCTGGTGGGACTCATGAACGTGAACCTGGACTGCTAGAGGCACAGCTGCTTGTGATGGCCAGCACAAACTTCAGCCGATAAAGATCACATTGTACAGAGTTACATAAACTGAGCATAACGAGCATCTTCCCTCTTGGTCTGCCATCGTGCAGAGCAGTGTGGGGCAGGTTGCTCTGCAGCTAAGCGGGTTACGGCGATCTTCTGAGGGGAGCAGATGGACATTCCTATCCCCAGGTCCAACGCCAGTGCAGTGCTCCAGAGCCTCCACAGCAGCTTGAGCAGATGATCTGCTCCCCAGGGCTACGTACAGTGTTCTCAAAATCCAGTGGGGCAGGTGTTACCCTGGTTGTGTGCATGTTTTTCACTAGGCTGTAGGTTTTTCTAGCATTTCTATATGTACAGGTAGATATTGCTGCTTCCTCAGGCTTACTTCATACTCAATAAGCCACAAGCCTGTGTATCTTGTTTAAGGTGAGAGTCCCTGATACCCGTTTCACCCACCCCTGGAATTGCTGTGGCTGAAGACTTTTCTGGAGTCAGCATGCCATCCACTGTGAAAAGTGCTGTGAATCCATTAATGGCCCTCTGTGGTCAAGTCATCAGCAATGGCATGGTGTCTGGCTTAAAGATCTCCTCAAAGCCACTGCATCCATGCTGCATCCAGTGCTGGCTGCAGAGCTAAGCCTTCCTTTTCCAGACCTGAGCAGTCCTTCCTGCATCCGCGTGCCTGATGCTATGGTTGCATCCATCTGGGTGTCGTGGGTGGGGAAAGCTCCTTGGAGATGGTCGAGGTGAGGTGCTGGCTGTATTCAGAAGGTAGGGAGCTGTCACTCCTGATCAGCAAGGACAGGGGGAGGAACAGCTGAAGATGCACGTTAAGAGATTGTGGGTTGAATAGCGTTTGTAGCAAACAGCGTTTGCTAATGCTGCCCCCTCGGTTGCTCTGTGAATGCTGGCGCAGAGGATGCAGAGCACAGCAGTGCAGAACGGGGCCCGGGAGAGCTCCAGGGGCCTGAGCACCAGCACCAGCTGCAGATGGAGGCTGTAGACCCACCAGGACTGGCCACGTCCAAAATCACAGTGCACAGAAACAGGCTCGGCCCTGCTGTAGTGGCAGATATAGACAGTGCCAGAGCTCTGCCTCCTTTCCTTGGCGCAGCGTTGGAAAGGTGGCTGCTCTCTGCATAGGAGCAAGGCTGAAAGGGGTTGGATTTCTGGGTAGGTTTGGACCCTGCCATAGGGTAGGGGCAGTTGGTCCTCACTAGACAGTTCAGACGTGACATAAGACAGCCTTAGGAGCAAAACAATTGGAAGCATAAGAAGAGGATGCCAGTGACATGATGCAGAGTGCTCTCCACCAGCCTCCTGCCCTCTGGCCATGCAGGCAGCAGGTGCTAGATGCTTCCAGGCTCTGATATCTCCCATCAATAACTGGATTTTCCTGTGCAGCTATTTTTATTGAACAAATCTCTCTTTATACAGCAAAGACATAAGTATGGGAAAAAAATACAGGCATGTGCTTACCCAAGAAGCAGGGAGGCATATGGAGAGTGAAGTACCATCTTGAACTCTGACAGTATAAAAATGGGAAGGAAGGAAGGGATGTGCTAGAGGTCAGGGGATGCAGGAGAACAGTGGAAGCAGTTATGCATAGGCATCAGTTAATACTGTTGGAAGGATATAGGTTTTATCATCTAGTTTCTGTTCTTCCTGCATAATACTGGAATGATTTGCACACGCCTGAGTGCCCAGACTTCCCCTTTCCCCCAGCAGCCAGTGAGCACAGAGTGGATGAGTGGCTGTGGTACTTGCCAAGGCAGTTTCACTGTCCCTTCTGGAGCTGTTGCAGAGGCTTGTTTCCAGCTGGGAGCTTGGACAGAAAGTAGAGGAGGGCTCAGAAGTCCCTAGCACTTGGTCCAGTGGCTCCTGGCTTGCACCTGGCTGCGGGTGGCAGAGTCCCGTCCCCTTTTGGGGCAGGGAGGTGAGGAGGCCAGCCACAGGTGCAAACGTGCTCATTTGTGCATAGATACCATTTAGATAGTGATTTTTAAACATTTCCCCTTTAACTGTGAGTTAAGTGCTATTGTACTTCCTCTCTTATCCTTCTGGTGTCTGACGGGGAGAGAGCTAGGGAATGCAATCTGGTACCGTACGCTGCTCTTTACACAGGTGTTTGTCCGCTGCTGGCCTGTGTCCATCGAGGGCAGGTGACGTGCAGCCGGGTGGGTAGGTGCCCGGGCGGGGCGCGGCAGTCCTCGTGCTCCGCGGGCGGGCTGGCCTCCGGGGCTGCTCGCTGGGCCGGTGATGGGCTGCAGGCCACGGCCGAGCTGCGCCGGGCCCTCGTGTGAGGGCTCCCGCTGTCCTGGGCGTCCTCCTGGCCCGGAGCCCGTCCCGCTCCGCTCCCATTGTCCAACATGGCCTTCCAGCGCTGTCCTGTCTCATCAGCTCTCTGGCTTGTTTTGTCTCTGTGTTTACCTTCCTTGTGGTGGTGTGTGACTGAAGGCTTTAATTTGTGCACAGTCCTCCTTTCCGTAATTCATCCTTTGTACTCTTTGCTGTCTTGTATTATTTAATTCCGTAAAGCGCTCTGGGATGCGGCGCGTATGAAAGATGCTACACACAATAACATTATGCTGTATTGTTTGTGATTTGTAGGCCTCCTGGATTTCCAATTCTGATCGCGGTGGTGGTGTTTGTTTTTTGTGTGATGGCTGCGCTCAGGGGCTTTGGTTGGATCGGGCTTCCCTTGCAGTCCCTGCCTCTAAGAAGCACTCAGCCTAATTGTGCCGTGATTTAATGTCAGCTTGCTTTATTGGGTGTGATTGTTGGAAATACAGCGCATGCCACGGGGGCTGATTGCATAGGGTCAGGGTGTCAGGGCTAACCCAGGGTGTATGACTCTTCTCGTGGGTTGTGCTGTTGCCCTCCTGGGCAAAGATGGGAGCTGTGCTCTCCGGAGGTGGGCGTGGGAAGGTGTGGGCTGAGCGTGGGGCGCACGGCGAGCCGGTGGTTCGGGGCAGCGCTGGGCCAGCTGAGGGAGGAGTGAGCCACGTGTGAAGAGTCTCCTGTGTACCTGGAGCGTAAGGTTCCCATCAGCGCAGATATTCCCCCTTGTCCACAGCTGCACTTGGTCCCACCTCATGCACCAAAAAAACCACACCTTAATTTAACCTGAGGGCTCTGGGCTTGCAGCCTGCTAGAAGCAGGCCCTTCGTATACCCGGCTGCAGAAGAAAGGTCAAGTGGTGACACAGTGCCTGTTGCGCTGGATCCCTCTACCCTGCGAGGTGGTGGTGAGGTTGGACTTGGCACGTTCACTTCTTGTTCACGGCTTCCTCTTTTGCCCGGTGTTCAGATACGCCATTGACCGCAGCACGGACGTGGAGAGGATCTTTGACATTGATGCCAACACAGGTGCCATTGTGACGGGGAAGGTCCTGGACCGGGAGACGGCCGGGTGGCACAACATCACTGTCCTGGCGATGGAAGCAGGTGAGAGCAGGGAAGGTGGCGTGGAGCAGATGGTCTGAGCTGGACAGCAGGGGGCAAAGGGGGGAACGTGGGTGTGTTCACCGCAGAGGTGACCAAGACACGAGCATTAATTAACGCTGAAGCAAGAAAAACGCAGCAGCACTGAGTCTAACATCTCCCTAGACAACCTAAAAATACTCTTCCTGACTTGAGCGTTAATAAGGGTGTATGGTCGACTAGTATCTTTGATGAACGCTAATCAAATCTGTGTTATCTGTGCGCCAGCTCTGCCAGTCGTCCCCCTGCTGCTCGCTCACTGCGTCCGCCC